CGTAAGACTGTGAAAATGTAGGGAGCAATACTGAGTAAAAAAGGAAGACAGTTAAATCTGTAGTATATTTTATTATATGTAAAAGACAGATACTTTCTATGTTTCCGATCAATTGAAATTAAAAAATGCGTCCTTGAGGTCTATCGTGATAACACACAATCTTTAAAAATTAATTGTAATACTGTCCTATAATCCTCCATCTTGAAACGGGAGAATTTCAAGGTATTTATTTTTTTTTTTAGATTTAAGATAAATCTAGAACTGCCATCTGGTTTAGGTACGAGAAAATATGAGGAAATAAACTGATTAACTTGTGGGCTTGCAGCGGAGATTGCATCTATAGAGATTAGTTTAGATAAACTGTCTTCCAATTCTTTTGAGTTACTTGGGCTTAAATCTGGATCTGGTAGGTGTGATTGAACTCGTTTTTTTTATAAAAGGCAGTTTGTAACCTGCAAGTCACTGCAGTATCGCTTTGTCACAAGTAAGCAGCGACCACTGATCAATATAATGACATATACGACCGGCAGTCACCTGTGATACTGATGGTTCTGCAACTGCTTTATGGTCTTCCTCTAGTGTTGGTATTGCCGTTTCCGTGGCTTGAGTTTCCCCTCCTCCTCCCTTTTGTATCGAGGTTTCAACGAACCTTGGCGATAGTGAAAAAACTGTGAACCTCGTCTTGAAGATCCGGCAACCTGTTTGGATGATGAAGGGAGACGAGACGAAGTGGAAGCCGTGGCCACTGTATGTAGAATCTTAGGCTTCTTTTTAATAGACGCGCCAAACTTCTTTGCTTCAGAAGAACATTTTAGTTTTTCTGTGAAATTCTGTCCAAAAGGGAAAGAATCTAGGGAACAAGTCTCCAATGTATCCTTGATGGAGTCATCTAAACATGGAACATTTAAATAGCGTCTATGCTTTGAGAGAGAATATAAAGCGTCGGTCACAAGCTTCATTGGATCCCCGAATTTTTACACCTTCTCGTGAGTAGATGGTGGCATGTCGGATTTCTTTAATTCTTCATAAATGGTATTTAAAGGAACAGCTAAGGCACTTATAGCTGCTGCTAATTGACCCTGAAGTTTTGATAGAAACATATCATGCCTCAATAATTAATTTCAGGATTTATCTCTGGTGGTTTCGGAGCCTCACAACCTTTTTAATAAGATATTGTTCCAGGGTAGTTTTTCGTCCATCTGCATCCAAGTCCTTTGAGAAGAAAACTGTCTAAAATATCAGAATGCACATCTCGCCCTAAATTGTTGGGTGTTTTCTTTTCTAGCAGGGCCAATAAACCATTAGGTGGCTGCACCCGATTCGCTTTTGAAAGGGTGGCAATGGGACAGGTCATTTCGGGGTCCTCGTCGTCATTAGGTTGGGGCCCATCAGAAATCTCCGAGACGCCTATGGACAAATAAATTCGTAAGAATTTATCGACACCTTTGCTGAGTAACAAAAAACGTAAAATAAGGCGAGATGTTTATAAACAAGCGATGACACGGCGTGGCCGGCCTCACTTTTTCAGAAATGCTCGGGTGGAACTGCACAAAATTTATATGTATATTGCAGTGGGAATATTAAGAAAACAAAATACCAGTGGTCAAATTGTTTTCATGCAAATATTGTATATATGCAGCAGTTCTTTAAACTTTCAAATATGTTGCGAACAAAGGATCTACACAACAAAGAGATTAAAAAACACTATCTACTTACTTGAGTTTCCCAAAAGATCCTGCAATAATTCTTGTATCTTTCTCTTCTTAGATTTACGATTTTCTGCCATTATTCACCACTTTTACGTGCAAAGGAAAAATCCGTCCTCACAGAGCACACGAAAAAATTGTAAAGAATAATGACGAGTGTTCGGACGGCAGGAAACTGGAGATCCACTTTAGCATTATGATGGATGGTTGTTAAATTATAAGCAACTAAATGTACAAAAAACTCTCAAGTTTGACAGCCTGCCAGTCCGCCATTTTGAATAATATACAAATATTCTAGGGCTATAAAGTACTCATAAGGAACTCCAAAACAAGGTATCATAGGACCCCCTATTACGTTAAAAAAAGCTAAGATGGCGCCCAGACGTCATGTCGAAATTTTCAACTGCTTGCAACCAGTTCTTCAACAAATCATACAGTCTACGCAAACATCCTGACAAGCCTCGGAATATGGTTAGATGAAACAGACGAATGACTAAGACTACAGAGAAGGTACATGAATTTGGGATGCTGGAACAAACAAGGTCTACGAACTAAAGATAGTGAAGTATTTAAATAATTACAAAGTCACAATACAGGGTGTCCGCAAAGTTGGGGTTTTCCTTTTCAGAAACAACTACCCTTGAAATAACAAAGGTAATGTGTAGTGAAACGAGGGCGACCAAGTAAAAAAAAATAAAGGAAAAAGTACTCACTCTCCAGTTGACGAGAAGGGCTAAGTACGTCTCTGCCCCGAAATCATACCGCTCCAACAGAAAATGAAATCAGCCGATGCGCTACCGAGCAGACGCCGGCGGTGGTGCAGACCAAACAAATAAGACAGCGTTGCCGCGTTTTCAGTTTTTAGGTAAACGTACTTTTAGGTATTGTTCGAAGTTATCGCCGTTTGATTCAAAAACAGGTGCGTGCACGACGTAGCCCAGCATCGGTGCAGGCTTTGAGAATGGAGTCCCTCCCCCGAATGAAAGCACCAGCTTGTTCAATTCTGAGACGAAGTTCGTCAACCGTATGCACTTCAGTTTACACTAAGCGTTTCATTTCTCCCCAAAGAAAAAAATCACATGGTGTTAAGTCTGGAGATCGCGGAGGCCACGCTACGGGTCCATTACGTCCGATCCACCTATTCGGAAATAATTCATCCAAAACTCACGCACTTCGCGTCTAAAATGGGCGGTGCACCATCGTGCAGAAACCACATTGATGGCACATCTTCTAACAAGGAAGGCAAAATGTTGCGTAAAAAGTCTAGGTATTGCATCCCGTCCAATCGATTTGGGAGAATAAATGGTCCAATGAGCATACCGTCACCATGCCAGCCCAAACATTCACCGAAAATGTTTGTTGAAAATTTGCCCGACGGACAGCGTGCGGATTTTCTACTGACCAAACATGAGTGTTGCGAAAGTTATTCACCCCATTACGCGTGAACGTAGATTCGTCTGTCACCGATATGCCACTTCAAAATGTCCGAATTATTGTCATGTTGATGCAACAACCACTCACAAAACCGCACTCTTGATGGAAAATCGTCAGGTTGAAGGGCTTGTACACTTTGAACGTGAAACGGATACAGCCCCTCTTCACGCAGCGTTTGCCACACTTTAGTTTTTTGATACTTGCACTTCTCTAGCCACGTCTCTAGTGCTTGTTGAGGGATTCTCGTCTACGCGATTCAGTAGTTCTTCCTCAACTCGCACCATTCGTGGTTGTCTAGTCCTCCTACTGTGCCCACCTCGAAATTCCTCCAAATGGCCCGTATCCCTGACTCTCTGGACCAGGTACACAAATCTGCGGGGCCTTGGATGATGTCGTCTAGGGAAACGAGCTGCATACACTCGCGACGCCTCTGTAGCATTTTGAAGACATTCGCCATAAATTAAACAACATATCAACGAGTTCATTATTGGTGTATGAGTGGTGCCATTATTATTTTTTTTTGAAATGCAATCGATTATACGGGTACGTTACCTCTACACGCGTGACCGTAACCCGCGGTTGAAGGTTGCATACTGACCTGACACACTGACCCCGACCGAGTTCTGCCGTCGGGTTGAGACCTTGTACCAACCGGTGATATCCCGGCGGGTCGCGGCTACAGGACGGTATTCAGATATTTTGATGTTGCAGAGCCCTTTATCTCGGCTCCCTTAAGACATTGGTGTATATGGTACTAAGAAAAATTGCTTATGTTTTCAAGATCTACACGTCGTGTAAAGGAAAACCCCAACTTTGCGGACACCCTGTATAGACATAGCCATAATAAGAGAAACAAAAAAGGAAGAAGGAACTGAAAGATAGATAAACATGTCATCATTCTTAATGGTAAAGCTGTATTTAAACAAATCTATGTGGATATCAAGTAAATGGATTGTAGAACTCACACATGGTATAATATGGTTTACAAATAAGGAGGTTCTTAATTTCACGGCGAAATTGTTGATTCGTGTATCAAATCATTATTTAAATTTATAGAATCAAGGGAGCATTTAAATGTCATAAAATTAGTCTTACTAACATTGAAATATGAGTAGTGTTATCACGCCATTTTCAACCTAATTTCATCTATATCTGTATCTTGCCAAAGTATTGTGGTATCGTCAGCAGAAATTAAGAATTTACCATTTAGTTTAAATTTATTAAATCGTTAATATAAACTAAAAATATGATCGATATGATCGGGCCTAATACTGATCTTTGAGGTAAAGTATAATATCTTGATACTGTTACAATTTGGGATCGCCTATTTAAATATGTTTTAAACCAAATGAGTGAAGTTGAAGTACAACTCTACTCTTATTAGAAGTCACAAAAAAGAGCAATTGAAATCTGATAATCGTTTAAGCTTAAGTATAACTGTTGTTAAGTAGAATTGTTCAAGGGGAAAACATGGCCGCATAAAATGCGTACACCAATTTTTGTGAGAAAACCTTTTATTCGACAATAAAGAATGAGAAAACCCGTTCTGTTCCGGCAGGAACGAAAAAACTCTTAGAATAATATTTTTAGGTATTTATGAGACCTACAAAATGAGACCACACGTAAAAAGATCAGACTAATACTAAAAAAGATATGGCCGAAACCCGAGGCAAAATGCAGGTTTTAGCACTTCTTGCGAATGCGACGATAATCTTACACAGCTAGTTTTTGAGAATTTCTAATTGTTTATCCCAAAACACCTGTCTTTCAGCCATCACTACTAGTTTACTGCGCAATATACAGCCTTCGTTCAACTGGCATTTTATAGCAAAATACACGAATTTACCTTGCCGACGTGAATCACAAACCATTCCGAAAGATAATTGTTATTTTTATGCGAAAAACGAAGGGTTACCTTTTTTTTTCTTCTGAACAAATTGAAACATTTCGTATTTGTGAGTAATTGAACAGATTCGCTTCGATATTCGAAAAGCGTACGTTATTATACACATTTTAAAATAAAGCGGTTGTAACTATCACCTTTTGTTGCGAAGAAAAAGTGCTGAAATTTTTACACGGTCACAGATGAGCCTTAAAGTTTATAAAAAAATTCATAATGAAATGCGCTGAACCGTTTGTAAAGTTAGCACCCAAACTGAAAACACAAATGTTTTTCAAACTGTCTTAGACTAGTTAGTATGTAGTATGTGCTAAATGGCTGCATTATTGATGTCTGCATGACTTTGTCAAATAAGTAGGTCACGTAAAATCCAGTTTCTTTACGAATAATGTAATTCCCTAGACCTTTTTCTAAAAGTATTAATATAGTATATGTCTTTTTTCTATTAGTTTTTTATTTTAAATTTGGAGAAATAAATGCTTTTTCACATTACGTGTACTTTTATTATATATTATCTGAGAGAGAGACTGATCGGTAAAACGTCTCTATTCACCTTTCGCTATTGAAAGCTTATTTAATACACTACGAGTTAATTATCTCAATTCAGTAGTACCCAATGTGCAGATAAAAATACGAAAAAATAAGCAGCATTGTGGTTTGCTACGATTAATAAATACAAAATGCCAATGAATCTTTCATATAGTTCATTCTATGCACAAGAATACAAATTTTAGATGCAAAAAATAATCATGTCACACTTTAAGATATAATTGATATTGCTTAATTCCCGATTTTTTTTTGTAAGATATTTAACGTTCACGTTGTGTTAGGACATCCTCTTTCCCCGAAAAGGGAGACTACCTTTGCGTTATGCTGCCATAATACAAAAATACAAACTATGCAAAAGATGTCTATGCAGTTTATGAAATGAGCATCTACGCTCAACAGTAACTTGATAAATACAAAAACTGTGGGTTAGCCCACTAAACTCTCCATGCGGTACCTAATTGTTGGTTAATAATTTACAGATCTAAGATATTTGTTTTCAAAAATAATCTGCTATGATCCGACATAATGTTTCTGAAATTTTATCAAAGTAATATTAAAAATATATATAAACAATCATACGTATACCTGGTTTCCTGTTTACAAGCTTACATTGTCTATGGAGTGCGAAAAACAATAGAAAAAAAAGGAGCTTTGTGGATTCGAACTGCCGTCCTGCGGTTCTGCAATCGTTAATCCTTCCCATTACGCTACGACGCCTCTTGCTTTACTATATCTTATACCACTATACTTGACACTGATAAATGTCAAGCGAACGTTGGAGACGTTATCAAATCGGTTATAAACAATCAGAGTACTCTTGAAAACTATACAAGATACAATACTGGAACTATAAATAATGTGTTAGGGACTAATACCGAGCATTTTGGTTGATATTTTTTGTTTACTGTTTTTTCGAGTTTATTTTCTAACATTTTGAACTCGCAGTCGTTTTAATCGTACAAGATTTCGAAACCAGACGTATACTATATTAATACTGTTAGAAAAAAGGTCAAGCGAATTACATTTCTTGGTAAAGAAACTGGATTACTTGACCTACTTATTTGACAAAGTCATGCAGTCATCAATAATGCAGCCATTTAGCACATACTACATACTAACTAGTCATACCGGGTTTACATGCAGCCCACTTCCACGGTAGTGAGCAGGGAATTGGACAGGAAAGTGGGCAGCGCGAGTATGTAAATACGCAGCTCGCATTGCCGCTGCCGTATTCTCCCTTCCTTCGCGTTTTTTCGGACGGAAGTCAAAGGACCAGCAGCACGAGCGGCAGCGACCGTTTAGATTTTAGATGCTGCCCGCTGTACCAACAGTCAGTCCTGTCCTTACCACGTGGACGACCAAATTCATTCCTTTTTTGGCAAATTATTCGTTTTAAAATACAAAATTGGACTGCGAATGCGTGGAGTAATGATCAAGTATTGAAGTTTTTGGAGCTATATGCGGCTGAAAGATTATTATGGTAGGATTGAAAAACATCCCAATACAAGAGCTTAAGTCGAAAAAAAAAATCGCTTATGGCAACAAAAAAGTAAAACGCTTCGATTAGATGCATGAGAGGGTGCAGATGAGGTGTGTCAGCTCGTTTGGTTTGCATTTGATGTAATGGAAAGTTTTTTGGAAGCAGTTTATGGTAGGTTAGAAGGGTGGCTGTATGTAAACAGTCACTTGCTCCAAATGCTGCCGTGGAATTATTTACGACAGGACAGTGGGCAGCGCGAGTGTCAGCGGCAGTGGCTGCATGTAAACCCGGTATAAGACAGTTTGAAACATAATTGAGTTTTGAGTTTGCGTGCTAACTGTACAACCAGTTCAGCGCATTTCAGTATGATTTTTTTTTATAAACTTTAAGGCTCAAAAATTTCATCACTAAATACGTATACACAGGAGTATGAGGAAATTTTTAAAAACCTTTTTTCTTCGCCACAAAAGGTGATACACATCCGCTTTGCTTTAAAATGTGAATAATAACGGATATTTTTTGAATATCCTAGCGGATCTGTTCAATCAGTTACAAATACGAAATCTTTGAATTTGTTTAAAAGAAAAAATGTAACCCTTGGTTTTTCGCATAAAAATAACAATTATCTTTCGAAATGGCCTGTGATTCATGTCGGCATCGTAAACTCGTGTATTTTGCTATTAAATTGGTGTGTCCATTTTATGCGACCATGTTTTAAATACCCCCTTGAACAACTTGCATCAATAAAACCAGACTTTACATATATTTTGCAAACCAGGGGTATTTTCGACTAATATGATTAGACCATAATGCATATGATAGGCAACAAAGCTCCTAGTCCTAGAGAATTACCTGTGGAAGTGTATAAACAAGCTCCGTATGTTGTAATATTGAAACTCTAAAAACAATCTTTAATATATATTATTAAAAGAACCAGTATCTAAAGAATGGAAGATAGCACATATTAGCCCATTCCATAAGAAAGGTAACAAAAAAGATTGCTCAAACTACAGAAGTTTAAGTGTAACAGCTTCTATATGTAGACGGTATCGAAGAGTATTGAGAGCAAGGATTGAGACAAATACCAGAAATGGAATAACAGACTGGTTAAAGACAGAGGAGGCCATGTATTGAAAATTGATATCCTAGTCAACCAGGGTCATATCTTATACTCGTATGCTGTGTGTTGTGTGTGCTATCTGAAAGCTTGCTCAGTGTATTTTGCGGGATTGCTGGAGTCAGAAAACCAGTGTAAGTTGGAAAATTATGTTACAAAACGTGAAATATAACCTCTAAAATGTCACTTGCAAATAAATGCTATCAATGCAATTCAGAATGTGTTTTTAAGGAATATAAACAGAAAACCTTTGGATTTTCCTGTGACTTATTGAAAAGGGTGATATGTGAAAATTGTACTATAGCCCAAGCACACGAAGTGAGAGTCATTCCCAGTCATACTCGAACTCTTTGTCCGCAATGCATCTCTGACTTTAAGAAGCTTCCATCAATGACCACTCTTGTTGAAACTAAAGCATGAGATAACTACACTAAAAACTACATTTACCAAGATTGAATCTAAGCTTGATGCAAAAACTAAGCAACTTGATAACCCAAAAATATCAAAGCTGGAAGATATTAAATATATAAAATCAAACATAGCTAAGAATGATTTACTCGACGACTCTGACACTGTTCTTTCTGCTCAGAGGGTGAGCACAAGAGCACGGCTATCCTCAAACAGTGAAGATAATATTTTTCCTATTCTCGGCAAGTACTTCTAAAGCCATTTGGAGCAGATTGCACAATAGCTTGAATCGGTTGTTGATGCTATTAAGACCACAAATACTGGGCTTGTGAAAATGTTAGCATCGAACACTGAAAAGCCAAATTCTATTGTACCTTCTGCACGGAAGACAGTACCTACTCCGACAATAACCAAATCTAGTACAAGCTCTGCTCTTGGCAATAATACCTATACTGTTTTGAAGGGCAACTGAGAAGCATAATTACACTGCTTCATGCCAGAAAATGTAACGGTGAAACATTTTATATTTGGAAAGAAGAAAAGTGGAAGATTTGCTCAGAACGGTAATAGTGGTGCGGATTTTCGGAGACTGGGCTATCACGATCTGGAACGCTAATTGGTGATGTACATAGGGGGCGAAGTTATCGTAGAAATATCAGAATCTACTATCAGAATGTGAGGGGCCTCAGAACAAAACTATCGGATCCATCTCGAGCAGTATTATTGTGCGACTATGATGTGGTGGTTCTAACTGAAAAACTTATCACTCTACGTTTGTCTTATTGCCTTTTTCTTTACTTCAGATGCGTTGCATGTGCTGAAAGAAAGAAGCGAAAAGAGAGTCGTTATTGGTGCATAGAGTGTCGTACTGGTCTCTGTCTTGCACGTTGTTTTGGGATATACCGTACGAAAGAATAATATTTTCTACTATCGGATGTATTTTGTTTTTAAATAAATAAGATTCAAGTAATTTTATGTGCACTACTTGTTTAAAAACAGTACTAACCATCGCGGCTTTCCCTTATATGTACGCACTTCATTTAAAGTAACCCAATTCACGTGACTTTGACGAATATATACGCCTGCGCTTTTATTATCAGTAGCAAAGACGAATATGTACGCAAGCGGTAAAATGACGTGCGACCTGAAAAGTCATCGCTGAAAGCAGCTACAGCCACTTAAGGGGTTAAACAGCATATGATAGTGAACCAGTGAATAAGTTACAATGGGAGAACCAAAGGTGGATGCTCATTATACCATTACAGTGAAAAAGTTATATGAAAATAACCTATGCTGTATAAAGGCTAGAAGTGGTTGTTCTGATTTGTTTCCTAAAAAAAGGTTTCAGACAGTTGATGCCGCTTACCCTTTCAGTTCAAGCTGTACCTATATTCTGCCTTAGGAAGATGCATGAGGAAAGGTATGAATATAAATTTAGGTATCGCGTCGCGAGTTCGCGTTTTCAAAAAACGTTTTACAGGCGATTTGATACACTTTATTCACTTAAATTACAAGTATCGTTTCAGGTAACAACGGTTTTGTTACCAAACTTAAGACTACGTGCGCTTACAAACGATTGACTAATACATGTAACCTAAAGTAATAGCTGATGTAAACTTATGCCTAAAGGGCACAAACAAGAATTTATAATATGGGGTTGTTTATAGAGATAAAATATAAGTACAGAAATTATGGAGATATACGAGGTGCTCTCGTTATATAACTCCTCGCTGTCGAAGATGGGCAAACGGAAGATCCAAAGTTTGCGAATCCGGGACTGCTTCTTCTTCTCTACGTCTTCTTGCTTCTCCTAGCTTCTTTAAAATTTGGTAAATGGGGTAGCCAATAAATGTGGAGATTAATAGTAAAAATATGGCTAGATTGGTCTTCTTAATGGGGTGATCTTGGAACTGAAGATCTTCTTCCTTGGTTTCTGGTTGAAGTACTTGAAGATTCTTTATTGATTTCAAGTTGAACTTTGAAAATGCTCATGGCTCATGGTTGGTAACGGGAAACTTGTTTCTTGTTTTATATGATCAGATGGATAGAACTTCTGTTGATTGACTTCGATACTGCATCTCTGGAGTTCGATGATACTTGGCTGGGAAATAACGATCAGGCCATCTTCTGGACATGATGAATGGACTGTGCTGGGTTCCCTAGGATTGACAATTACTTTCGATGGGGAAATTTGCTGTACCACAGTTTTTGACTGCTGGATGCTTATTAGGGTACATCTGTTGTTGCCATTTTGAATAATTTCTACAAGACATGGATCTGCTTCTAATAGCTCTTCGTGCTTACAGAAGTATTCATTTGCGACTTCTGTGCAAAGGTATAGTCTGTATTCCAGGGTTTTTCAAGTCCAAAAGAAGGTATTGAGATTTTGGGCTCAGGGTTTGATTAGAATGAAAAATGGGCAAAATACTAAAATAATGAAAGGGTTTCGAGATTAGTGGTGCATACATTTTGAATAGAATGATATGATCAGAAATTGTAGCATCAGTTGAAAATAAAGAATAATAATCAATTATGTGATCAAATTTCGGAATTATTTCGTTACTGTAATCTTTGGACAAATAATCTAAAATTGAGAAAACACTATTCGAGTCTAAGATTGCAGAATGTAAAATATGTATTCTTGAAAATGGTAAGGCTGTTTGTAAATTGCTAATATTATTTCATATAAGGCTTGTAATTCCAAAATAATTTTATCTATAGTGAGGCTGAGTGATAATACATTATCTTGTTTCTTTGAAATGTTGTTGATCAAATCATTCATCTAATAATAATTTTCTCATTGTCCCTAATGATCTCAAAAGTAGTCTCATAATGGGCGGTAAGATCCCTTAATATTATTTGCTGTTTGTTTATGCGATATTGTAAGTTCAACTCATTAGATTTAATAGTATTCAAATAATTGTTAATAATTTCTTTATCTGAAGAGTCCATATTTCCAAACAAATATTTTGAAAGTGTACCAATACCATTAAATAATCCTCTTTCCATTCGTCTATTGTATAAAATACCAAAACTATCAATTTTATTCCTTAAAGAAAACGCATGTTCCAATTTTTGAGAAAGTTGAATGGAAAAATGATTCGAATTTTCTTTCAAAAATATTTGTGTTCTTAAAATATGTTCCTCATCTGTATCAATTATGTCTTCTGACATTTTCCTACTTATTACCATTGTAAAAGATTTGTTTTGAACATATTTTTGTATAAAATTATTGAATGGTTTTTCTAAATCTAAACTATTAAAATATATGCAATAATGCTGATTAGGCCTAATATATTCCTTAAATGACTTAGTAAAAATCTATTCTAATTCGACTAACTTATTCGATTCCAATAAATCTTTTCTAATTAGCCATGTGTACCTTATATTTTTAAAAATTTTCTCGAAGTGATATTGAAATAATTTACATGGTGAAATACCTAAAATAACTTGGTTCTGGATATTTAATATTTTATCTGTGTACTGGATTTCTACTACAGGATTTTCAAAAGAGCTGTGTATTGTTTCGCTGTCTGAGAGAACTTTTCCTGGTGGAGGGATATTTTTTAAGACTTTAATTTTTGGTTCAGGATTGGGTATAGATGTTGTAGGGTTACTTTTGTCATTCGGGAGCTGGTGATTGTCAAGGGTTTCTAAAATGTCGTCAAGCTTCTATTCGTCATTGTCTGTCAAGGCGGTCCGTAGGGCCTTTGCTTTGTGTCAAAGTACGTCAGTCAGTTTGCTATTCTGTCGGCCTGGTCACCCAGAAACCAGACATGATTAATAGAAAGCAGAAAGAAAAAAAAAAGAAAAAAAGAGGGAGAGCAAATACAACTGTTAGAAAGGCGTCTGAGCATTGTCGAAAATTACTGTAATAATTTTGGATGCCGAAAAAGAATATGGTTGGATTTTTGTTTAAAATATTATTTTATATTATACGAAATTGCGCGATTCAATTTTGTTCACAGTGCGAGCCGCGGCCTGGAATGTTTGCAAACTTGCTCCACTGTGTAGTCTACTGACTCGCGCAACAAAGTGTTGCAATGCGATTTTGCTTGTTCATAACGTCGCTGGGACTGATGTTTAATGTCATGCTCTAAATAAGGAATGTTGTGCTGTGAAGGATTTCGTTTGAAACATACCATGGGGAATTGGCGATGGTTCGTAGGGTCCTGTTTTGCAGGACCTGCAGAGCTCGCATGTGCGTCTTTGCTAGAAAGCACCAAGCTGCACATGCGTATATAATGGTGGGTCTGATGATCATTTTTTACAGTCGAAGCTAGTTATACGCTCGACCAGTCTAACTGCCTGCTGCTCGGTGCTATGCTCCGACCGAAGCCCGAATTAAACGTCGGGAATCATCATGATCCGACGAAAAATTCTGAAGATGACGGAGAATCACCTTTTCAGCGAGCTTAGATGGCGCTGACAGTAAACTAATAGGATGATAATCCTGGGAAAATATCGAACCAGCCTTCTTTGTGATCATGATAACCTCGGACACCTTCCATGCCTTAGGGAAATATTGGGTCCTGAGCATTGCATTGATTACTGTCACGAGATGCGTCAAAGCTTTTGGAGAGAGCAGCTTCAGCGCCTTGTTAGTAATCTGATCCTCTCCAGGTGTTTTACGCACCTTGAGGTGTTTAAGATAACCAAGGAGCTCCGCGTGTGCAATGCGAAATCTCAGATGGTTCCGCTGATGTGCTATGCGAATCATATGTCGAGGAATCTTCCGTAGAGGGGTCCTCTGAGGAGGATCCACTAATACTGGCAGTGATGTCACTGACGCCATTAGTTCTGAAGTGTCTTCGGACGGAGCAATATGTCACTCCTCGTCGAGGTCATTATCTAGATCACAGTTGGGTGAGAACTGTCGTTCCATACCATCAGCAAAAACTTCCGCTTTTTCCTCAGTCCTGAAGACCCTGCCCCCAGTATCGTGGATATGCGGTAGTTGTTCCCGTTTGCCATTTTTGAGCGATTTCGCAACCTTCCAGAGAGGAGAACTCTAATCGAGCATTCTCGCTAGAAAATCGCTCCATTGCTCGTTACGGAACTCATGAAGAGTGTTTCTGTGCATGGACAAGATTGGTGGTTCTACGGATGTCATCTGGCTGACAAGACTTTTTCGCTTGTGTAACTGCAGTTCTTTCGTCAGAAATTTTCTGAAGTTTATCCACAGGGAGAAAGAGCTTGCCGCGCCGCTGTACTGGAAGCACAGTTGCACGCTGTAGAGCTTGTTGAATGGAACTTGTCCACTCCGCTGGAGCAGCATCTATTCTGTTCTCATCATCTATGATCGGGATATTGGGAAACTCTTCGAGGAGCGATTTGTACAGCTCCCAATCAACACTGTTTCTTGGATGGGTTCCCTCCTCTAAGGTTTGATCGTTACCCACCTCCATCAAGACAGGAAGGTGATCGCTTGAGATGTTATACATGATTCGTGAAGTTTTACTGTATCGACATTTTCTGGCGATGTCAATGACATCAGGAATTGAAGGTGATTGAACGGATGGTGCGTTGGCTCCTCAGTACTGTGTATATTTCGTACCCCATGGTTATAAAGCCGAATTCCACTAGTAGAATTCAACCTGGAATGCCATGCTCGATGCTTGCTGTTGAAGTCCCTTGCCACAAGAAGTGGATCCGAGCAGTCCAAAAGGACTTCCAGATAATCTTCTCGCAGCCTGGCACTACATCTAACATATACCGAAGTGATATTCAATGGAACACCTCCCGCCAATTGACCACCACAGACGCCGCTTCAATGCTTAGTATTTCAGCGTTTGTGCTTCTGTAATAGTCTATACCATGTTTGACAAGCACTGCCAAGCTTCCGTCTCGTCCATTCAGTCTGTCAGCCCGGATAATGTTTCCTGCAACAAGGCTACGTCTACACTTTCGTTCAAAAGAGAATGTTCCTCAGACCCAAACAATTCCAAAATAATTTTGATATATGCTGGCTGTCTACTATTGTACCTAGCCGTTTAGTGGCTGGGGAAGTATTGCCTGCAAAGCCTGAGTGGCGCTAATCAGGGGACTAATTATTTGTTGTAAAGACCTCAAAGCTGTTGCTAAGTCCACATTCTGAGAGGTCAGAGATGAATTTGGAACAGCAGTTGCTTCGCTAGCAGCTTCCGCATAAGATTTACTTCGCCTTTCGGCAATGACATGCAGAATCCTCCTTGGAGTAAACCTACAGGTCGGACAGTTTGCTGAATGCCCCCCACCACAGTTCGCACATTTACGCGCCTGTTGTTCTTTATCCATGATTCTCCTCTAACAGACAGTCTCGGGACCCTTTCGCACCGACGGGCCGTCGGCGATCTAGCTCTTTTCTACCGCCACACCAACGGGCTTTGCTCCCCAGAGCTCTCTTCCATGATGCCGCCGCACGATGTGCCTGCCAGGCAGACCCGCCGTACTTTGGCTTCCCATCCTAATCGTGTCGAACTTCGTACATCCAGAACTGGCCGATACGACCGCTCCTTTGTCCCGAGGGTGTCGAGATTGTGGAACAATCTACAAGAGAAAGCTTTTTCCAGTTCTACTAACCTTAGGCAGTTCAAAAATCGTATTAACAAAATTTCTTTGGGATCATCATAGCAGCCGCGGTGTTCCGGCTTTTAGGCTTCTGCCTGCGCGGCTGCTTCGATATATATATGTATATATATATATATATATATATATATATATATATATATAACAACAAGTAGGAAAATAATGGGCAAAATCCGCAAAAAGGAGGAAAGTGGATTCGAGCAGAAAATAGGATAGGTAACCCGAGCGATACGTATTTCTGCTGGTTGGCTTCATCAGACCCGAAATGAATGCACATATGAAACTACAAAAGTAGATACACATGCCCACACATCCGGATACTGGTGTAACCTGAGGAAACGAAGTTGGAGGGATATATATATATATATATATAAAATGTGTCATGTGGTTCAGAACACATTTCAGACACTTAGGAGGCGGAGTGCAGTACTACTGCGCGTGTCCATACTTCTGGCAGCGATGACACTGCCCAATAATCGAGTGTTCTTTTGAACCTGGACTCTGATTGCCAGACCCAGCAGCTCGTGTTCAGTAAAAATCTGCTGCGATTTGTCAATCTTAGGCAGTATCAACACCATCAGCGGCATAGGAA